ACGACTTTATGATGTTACAGCATTATTCTCATAATTTTATGCCTCTATTCTCGTAATATTATGACTTTATTCTCATAATATTACTTAATTCCCATAATATTATGACTTTATAATATTGCAAGATTATTCTCATAATGTTATGACTTTATTAAGGTCATTAAAATCAAATCTCTAGCCTGGCTCTAATACTAGTAGTCCTGAAGAATCTTATTTTGAGTCTGTATATTTTTTCCAAAGTTGTGTTTTTGGGATTCTGGTTGCTGCTGCCTCCATTCACAACTACTAGGGATGCATTCATATAATTAATAAAGTGTGTTTTTAGCATCCGTTTTATCACCATCACGATAGTACCACAACATATTGTATATTTATGTATTTATTTTCATTTTTAACTTTACTCGCATAATAAAAAGATAATAATGAGCGTAGCCAGAGGAACTGCAAAATCCTATTAGTTTTTTAGGCACGTGAAGGCAGCTGTAGTCACGCGACGCGTTGTTTCTCTCCGACAGAACAAATATGGCGGATGATGGAGAGTCATTGGAGTCTTGGCTCAGTAAGTAGACAGTTCTTTAAAAACATTCTACGCTTTGTGTTCATGCTGCTTGTTGCTACGAATGTGCTTTTTGTCCAAATCTATCGGAATAACCAGCTGGACTCGCGTGACATGACGGAAGCTAAATATTAGCATGCTAAATGCTCTGTGTTGTCAGGAGAAGCTAGCTAAGCTAACTAGCAAATGATGAGTGTCACAAGCTAATTTCTCGTCTGTTCTTTTACAGAACATTTTACGTCGACATTAAATTGATGATGCTGCAAATATAAAAGCGTTTTATACTTGGACGGTATATTTTAGCTTCTGCTTCTATAAAATGTTTAATATTTTCGACCCCAGCCATAGAAAGTTCCTCAACCAAACATGATGAGTCTGGGTAGAGATAGCAGGGTTACTGGGTGGACTAGAAAGGATGAGAGATGTTGCTTTATGACTGATTTTTAATATTAATAAGACAAGGTTCTGATATTTTTACTAATTTTTCAGGAGAATAATGGAAATCTGGAGTCATATCCTTTGCTGAAATGGGCTGAATCCTGTTTTCAATGGTTTCCTCTACTTAAGGGAGTAACTTTGTGATGAAAGTTGGTGGGGACACTGTAAGGGTGGAGGCTGATGGACCTACAGTAACTCCAACCAAACGCTTTCATTAGGTTTTTGTATTCTCCAAAAATGAGCTCAAACATATATTTATTGAATGCTTTCCTATTGTTGTATATATAAATAGGGCTGAAAAACATAAATGTATTAAAAAATAACCAATAACAGCCGATTCTGATGCCAAAATCGATATATCATCCATCCCTAGAAGTACAATTTCAATTCCATCCATCCAGAAAAACATGGATATGCTGCATTTTAAATATAGCATAGCAGATTTATTTTCTTGCAAACTGTGTGGTAAACTCGGAGATATATTTTATTTAATGTTGCATATCTCAGTAAGTCTGTTTCACCTTTAAATCTGCAGCTCTCCCTGCTTCTCTCTGTTTAAAAAGATTTATGAATCTCTTTTTTTGTGAACAACTTTTTTATTATTTTAAAGAGAAACGGGTACATTAGTCGGATAAAGGTAAAAGAGGTATATTACAACCTGATCCAACAGAAAGGAACACATAGAAACAAAACAAAACAACAAAAAACAGGCGACCCAACATCTTTTTGGCAGCAGTGATGCCGGTTAGGAGAATACGTTTTTTCCAGCATGTCAATTTTAATGAGGTGGTATCATTCAGGAGTAACACAACTGGAGAACACGGTACATCAACCTCCAGCACATTAGATAAAGTAGAGCAAACCTCACCCCAGAAAAACCTCACATCCATGCATTCCCAGTACATATGTAAATAGGATCCTATAAGTCCAGATTTATGAATCTCTTTACTAATATAATGATGCCAGAAACTAAATTTCAAGCTATGTAGAAGTTCTGCAGTCTGATTCTGTCTGTTCAATAAGAAAACATTTTAACCTATAACTGGGAGTCATGGTCCTCTGAGAAGCCAAGCATTTTTAACTAGTAAAGAAGAACAAACTTTGTTTTCTCAAGCTTCTTGTGTTTTAATATTAACTAGACTGTTGCTATTTTTAGTTGAAAAATCTCCATATGTCTAACAAGATTTTTCACTGGCATCTGAAATTATTTTAACTAACTTTTACTTCAATATCAAAGTAGCTGCTGGTTAATATTCAGTGAGTGCTGCTGTGTGTCTCTCCTCCAACCACGTAGCTACTCTTTACGCAGTGAAATGCGAACAAATCCGATGTCTCAAAGCGCCAGATCTGATTATGTTACGCCGAGAGGCGGGAAACGGGAGCAACGCGAGAGATGGGCAAAGAAACACAGACTGAAAACGCTTCTAACACAGTTAGCTGCACCCATTCTGTTACCTTTGGATAAAGTAAATGAGCGGAAAGGGGGGAAAAAAGTGGAGATTATTGGTGGGGACTGTCCACACCAGTCCTTCACAAAGTCACACCTGTGCCTCTACTAGGTGATTCAATTCTCCCATTTGGAAACCTACAGAAACTCACCAAGAAGCAAACGCATCAGCTTTAAAGGATTAAGCTTTTTTTTATTTTATGAAAAATCAGAAAATGTTCCAAGTTTAAGTTACACGTGTAAACAGTCTTTATTGAGTTAAGAATTAAAACAGATATGTTAATGGAGCTTTGCTAGGCTATGAATACATATGTTATCTCCCCAACTTGTCATTCAAAATGCTTTTGAAAGTTTAATTAAAAATAAAGCTATTTTGTTTCTGATCATTAGAACCAAACAAGTCAAAGAAAGATCATTAAATGATATCTGTCTGTATTTTTATAGACATTTCTAAGCTGCACATTGTGTGACCTCCTCTACTGTAAGCACAACAATTTCCCCCATTGTGGGAGAATAAAAGTATTTTCTTTTCTATTTTATATCAAATACAGTGCTTTACAAAAATGTTTTCCTCTTTAGAGAATAGTTCTGTTTTCTAAAAGATTCTGCACAACAGTTGAAGTTTAATCAATCATTCAAAGATGACCTGAGTAAATAAGAAAGTCATTTTCAAATTCATGTCTGATTAATTAGAGGTAAATTGATTGAACAAGAGAAGCGTGTAACCTTTTAGATCAGTGATTCATGTGTCAAATGGAAACCGGATATTTAAGTTTAGATTGTCTCTTTCTGTTGACGAAATGGGAAAAGCATAGAACTCTTTTTCATTTCACTGTAAATGGCCGAGGCACTTTTCAAATTGAACCAGTGATAAAAATTAAAAAAACCAACTTGGATTTTATGGGATTGCTAAACTATAATGTTGGTTTTCGGTTCTCCTGGAGATTTTTTTTTCTTTTTCTTCTTTCTTTTTTCTATTTTTTTTTTTATCTGAATCCTGTGACCCTAAACAATGAACTGTCTCTGCAGCATTAAATTGGAGGAATTTCTAAACCCGCCCACCGTGGACTCACTTATTAACTGCAGTCATGTGTTGACACAGAAACACAAAAGGATGTGGCAGATTACTAATCTTCAAACATGCTTACAGTTCAGCCAGGGTGAATCTGCTGATTGGAAATGCACCGTAGATACATCAGCGCACGTACACCTAGTAAATAGTAAATTTAGTTGTTTGTTGTTTATTTTATTTGTTAAGCAAACCAGAAACTAAACAACAGAAAGTACTGCTTTGTTTTTGATGGATAAATACCTTGACTGGTTAATAGGGGTGTAAATAATAA